ACAATTATAGAGGAGGAAGAATTTATTTGAGGGCTCATGATTTCAGAAGTCTTAGTCCATAGAAGGCTGGCTCCATTTCTCTGGGCTTGAGGTGAGGCTGAACATCATGGCAGAGTGTGTGGCAGAGGGAAGCAGCTCACATCAAGGTGATCAAGAAGCACAGACTCCACTTCCATGTACAAATACATACACCAAGGCCACACTCTAATTCCCCGCCTCCTTTAGCCTCACCCTACCACTTCAGTTACCACCCAGTTAATCCCTATCAGCAGATTAAATCACTGATTGGGTGAAGAGTCTCACAACCCAGTCATTTCTCCTTTGAGCCTTCTTGCACTGTCTCACACATGAGGTTTTGGGGAACACCTCACATCCAAGTCATAACAATCATTATTAGTTAATAATGCATCAATATAGGTTGATAAGTTGTAACAACTTTCCAGTAATGCAAGATATTAATAATAAGATAAAATAAGGAAGGTGATGAAGTATCTGGGAACTCTCCTCTCTTCTATTCAATTTTTCTATAAATCCAAAACTACTCTAAAAAATTAAGAACATAAAAACTGACAAGCTAACAAACCAGATGAAGGTATTTACAGCGTATGATATTGGTAAGGATTAATAGACAGACTATATTAAATATTCTACAGATTAATAGGAAAAAGACAACACCATAGAAAAAAATATTTACACAATAAAGACAAAAACAGGGAATTTAAAGAAGAGGAAATATAAATGGCCTGTTAATATATGAAAGGGGGTTTAGTCTCATTAATAACAATCATTCAAATGCAAGTTAAGATACAATAAAAAATTGTTACTTACCTACAAAATTGGCAAGATAAAAAGTCACATAACGAAGAGTAATAAAATGGATGTGGAGCAACTGAAACTTGTGTGCCCTGCTGGTGATAAAGTGCACTGATGCCAATGCTTTGGAAAACAGTTTGGCATTACCTGGTAAAGTCAAGCATTCACATATTCATTACCTAACAAGTCCCTGCCTGGGTAAATACCCAGAAATGGCTACCCATTTGCACCAGCAGACACGCACAAGAACGTTCATGGCAGAATTATTTTTAATAATAGAAACACAAGAAGAAACAGAATGTCCAATGACTGATGAGATAAGCATGCCCAAGCAATAGGGTAGAGCAGTTAAAATGATAGATAATCAGGTTCCCAAGAACAAAGGTGATATTTATTCACAATATCTGAGATTCAAAGCACAGGTAATGATCCATCTCAATAGAGCCCTGGACAATCCAAGGGCAGCCACATGCAGTGGCAGGTAGGCTAGTGTAGGACTGAGCATGAAAATCACATAGCAAAACACTTAACAGTATGAATCCTGTATATCAAAAATGAGAACATGCAAAATTAACCAACATATACTGTGCAAGGCTTGGAAATATCACAGGGAAGCAACAGAATAATAGCTGTAAAATTCAAGATAGAGGTTAGCTCAGAGGGTCAGGATGAGATTCAATGGGGAAGAACACTCAGGGGACTTCTTCAACTCCATGTTGGGCACACACAAGGGTGTCACATATATTTCTTAAATGTCCTTTTATATATATTAATAATGAGAAGCAATTTTTTTAAAGCATTCATGAATTACAAAAGAAAACCTGAATCCTGATTTCAGGTTTTATTACCAGGATGACTTTGAGATCTTGCTTTTCTCTGTAAAACGGGGGTGATAACTACCCTCAAGATTTTTGAAAGAAGCAAATCTACAAAACTAAACCCATATGGGTAAGGTGGGGATTTTCTTCTAGTATCTCCTTAAACACCCATGTTGGACAGATACTCCATTTTTCACGGACTCTGGAGTGAAAAGTAGCTATTTTTCTTCTGATTCATTTTATCAGTCAGAAACTCCCTCCTAAGCTGCTCACTTAAGCATCCTTTCCACCATAAGAAATGCAATCTCCAATATTTGTTCTCTTCTGTCTCCAATTTAGAACAGCAATGGGAATGCAAAACAAAGAAACTGGTACTTACCGCGTAGATCTCAGGAGGAAAAGTGGGACCCTGGGAGAGAATGGAAAGAGATTGCATAATTGTGCTCCTTCAAGGCTCCAAATCCATTCCAAATTACATGACATAATAGTGCACGCCTAACTTTCATTGAGATGCCAACTCTAGATTGGTGGTATGTGGTTATAGTTTAAATGGTTTGACGATTTAGTTTATGAGCATTACAAGTTCTTCTGGTCTGAACCTTTCATTGGCAATGAAAGGTGAATTCATTACCATAGATAATAGTGTGCTAGTGTGCCCCCCCACAAAAAAAGACCTAAACAATTCTGGCAACTGGAATGTGTTCTTTTCTCTCTTCAGTTTTGAGTGTAATTTCCATTCTTTCCTTAGTAATATCGAGTGGTGGGACTGGGTTTCTGCGTTTCATTTTGGTTCTGCTTTCTGTAAAAGGACTGCTGATAAGAGACAGAAATGAGACAGAGGGAAGGACCCTCCGATACCTTCCTCTACTGTGTGAGACTCAGTGAGGAGCCTGTCTCATAAAACCCCGTTCTGTTGAATGTAGAGAGAAGGAAAAGTGAAAGCATATTCTAAAATCTGCCAGCCCCAGAGTTCATGTTCTCTTACCTCATCAATACCACTGCAGTCGGGGAATGTAAGACTAATTATTCCAGTTTCACAAATGGTCAGGGACTTAATGACCTAATCGAGATCTCACAGCTAGAGTTAAAATGAACACCTGTCCACACATGATAGAAAATAACTAACAAATGTCTATAATCCCTAAAAATTTTGATTTCAGTAGTCTTTAAAACTTGATTGGGAGATTCTGAATATATAACCAAGGTGGAAAAAAAAAAAAAACACTGTCAATCGCAACCCTAACCATGAAGGAAAATGAGAGCTAGTCATTACCATCCTCAACATTTTCACCCAAATCTCTGGCCTTCCTACGAAGAATCTCAATTTTAAGCCCCATAATAATTTGTTAACCTGTTTTCTTTTTGACTGTATCTCCAACACCTAAAACAGTGTCTGAAACAAGTAGACACTAAGTATTTAAAGGGGCAAATAAATAAACACTCCTGGGTTTTATTCCACAAGGACACTTCAAGTGCTAGTCTGTGCCAGTACTATCCTAGTTATGGGGATTCGGTACTGATCCGGTCTAAGGATACCTTTGCTGTTACGGAATGTCCCTTTTACAGCATATGTTCCACCATAAATATAATGCAGGCTACCTAACACAACTTTTCTAATAGTCATGTTAAAAAGTAAAAAGAGACAGGTGCAATTAACAATATATTTTACTTAACATATTCAGGATACTAGTTTAATATGAATTGATCCAAAATTATTTTTACAAATTCCTTAAGATATTAATTGATACGTTATAAACTTCACCCAATTCTTAAATAACATTTAATAAGTTATTTTACACTCATCCAAGTCTTCGAGATCTGCTGTATATTTCACATTCACAGAACATCTCCATCTGGACCTGCCACACACCAAGGGCTCCATAGCCTCATATGGCCAGTGGCTACCATGTTGGGCAGTCCTATTGTGGAGGGTGAGACAAGCAATAAACATGTAACTGAGAAGGGTAGGAAAGGAAAGCCTGTGTAAAGAAGTGAAGACAGCAATTGAATGATTTAAAGGATTTAAGAAAAATAAGAAATAAAGTAGATACTTTAGTAGGTACCTGCACTCACAATGCAGAAAAGAGAAATTGTGTCTTTAGCACATTTCTGGATGTACTTTGTCACACCTATTTAACGGTCAGGGATGCCGAAGAGTCATATCCTAAATTAACAGCACTCTCTTCCCCATGGCCTTCTCCCAGGTTCTCCTCCTGGCATGACCCAACCTGATATTTGGAGTCCTGACAGCTCCTCCAATCCCAGAAATCAGCTGCAAGCCAATGTTGTTTTCTTTGAAGAGAGAAGCAGGAAAGTCAGTGTCCTCCAGCTTACTAGCTGAGATGCCTGAGGTCCAGAGGGAGTGTCTGCTGCTTCTCCCAGAAGTTAGGATAAACTATAACACAGAGCATATCCTAAAGTGCATTGAGGACCACTGTGAGAGTTCTTTGATCCTCATCGGCTAAGCAGAAAAGATGGAGAATCTCTACCAGCGTTGAAGCCAAAGGGAAGACGGCTCTCTAGTGGTCATGTTACACATTTCAGTCAACGAATGGGGGCACTGTGAAACGAATCCCTTATAACTAGATGGAGGACTGCACCATTGTCTTCAGGACAAATGAAAATAATTTTTTTTTTTAAATCTCTTGGCTAAATTATTACCAAGTTACATATTTAAAATATTTTAATCTGGGATGTAGCTCAGTGTACAGTACTCACCCAGAACAAGGTCCTGGGTTCAACCCCTAGCATAGCAAAAAATAATAATAATTAAATATTTGATTATTAATATGATTTTTGTTTATAATATATATTATTAAATACTGAAAATGGAAATTATGGTTAATGTGCTTAAATATTCAAAATACTTTTTTTTAACACGGGGTTGGGGCCATTGATATGCTAAGATTCACAGCCCTTCATTTCCAGTGTTATCATAAGTGAAGGGATTATTATTCATATGATTCACTTTTAGCCATCAATTAATGCGATATGGGTCCACTGAAACTTAAAATTTCACATGCAGAGGACAGTTATTGATGTGTTTGTACTTCCTTACTCAATCCTATTAAATAAAAAGGGATAACAAATCCGTTGGGGAATGCCAATCGATGGTGAAAAGATAATTATTTAAATCCCACCAGAATATTTAGCAATGTAAAGACCATAGTTACAAGTTTAAATACTAGTTAAAAATGATACTGTGAGCTGGGCATGGTGGCATATGCCTGTAATCCCAGTGGTTTAGGAGGCTGGGGCAGGAGGATCACAAGTTAAAAGCCAGCCTCAGTAATTTATTTAGTGAGGCCCTAAGCAATTTAGTGAGAACTTGTCTCATAAATAAATAGGGGGCTGGGGGTGTGGTTCAGTGGTTGAGCCCTCCTGGGTTCAATCCCTAGTACCAAAAAGGAAAAAAAAAGATACTATGAACTTGCTGATAGTTATTGTAAAATACAACATAAATGAGTTGATGTGCATGTGGTATTTTTATTTTTTATTCCTGTCATATAGCTACAGAAAATTTGCTTTCCTTAAAATTAACTTAAATGCATAAAGAACTTTTTAGAACAACATTTAGCAGAGTTGGTACTACTCATCAGAGGCACAGAATAGAGTGGGTACATATATGGATTTGAAATCTGTCCTCCAGATTTAGTGATCTAGTTAACCTTGCTCAGTTTCCCCTCCTGCAAAATTAGAATAAAAGCACCTGTCACTAAGGGTTCATGTGAGAGTCATTTGACCACTCAATAAATGAGTTCAAGCAGATTTTTAAGAGAAAAGAGGAAGAAAATGAAAAAAGAAAAATTGCAAGTTGCAAAACTCATGAAGATTTTGCTGAAGTAAAATCATGACTTCTTCCTTCTGAGGTTGTAAGACTCTAAAATTTAATAGAATGTTGTATTTATTATATTACCATGTTTTGCTTTAGATTTAGTGTGTCAAATACTTTAAGGTAATTTTCATCAAAAGAAATATGTTTTAGATACTAATAATATTTGTACCTACAAATTGCAAAATAAACTCTTGCTATTGCATGTGGTAAAGGCAGAGGTGGGGTACAGAATGATAGGCTTGGCTTTGGTCCATTCTTGGGAGTTGTAATTCTGAGGCACAGAAAGCTATGACTAAATCAGGAACACTACCTGGAGAAAGTGACCTGGGGTTATAATTTCAAGGAGATGGTCTGTGATCTGTGAGAGGATCTAGGGAAGGCCCCAGTAGGCAGCTGAAGGCTGACTCTCCCAGATAGTAATGCAGGCTGGATGCTTTGGGCTAAAGTTTGCTGCAAAACATTCTGAACAAAGATCCTAGACAAAAGGAGCTTTTTAATACCCTGAGGAATTCAGACTGAGTGAGATTTAAAAATACATATAATATAGACGTTGATCTCATAGACCGTAATCACTCTCACTACATCATAGGGTCTTACCTTCAGTGCTCTGCCTTCAGTTAGTTGAGGCAGAGTAAAAAGAGATGGTCTCTGTGTTAGGGGAAACACATTTTCTGGAAATGTTCTTGAATACTTGTTCAGAATTATTGCAGGACATTGCTGGTATGGTTGCAGGTATGAGGAAGAGAATAAAAGGTACTGTGGATAAGTCACTAATCCAGAGGCTCCCAAATGCAAGCTGCCTGCTAGATGAAATCTTCCCTGTCTGGCTGCTTTTCCCTCCAAGCCCACCCAGACCTCCACCAATCAGCTGGGGCCTTCATATCTTCCCCTTATACTATCCTCAAAGGTGCTTGGGCATAACAACTGCCAGGTCCCAAGATTTCACAATGATATCTCTTGTCACTAGTTGAAATTCATGAATCCTTACCTTCACAGAGGTGAAATTTTGCTTCTTTTTTGCTTTCAAAATTGGGAAGGAAGTCAAACTCGGTTTCCTTGGCTTTTTATCGTCCATTTGAGTCTTGCAGGAAGGAGAGCAGAAAAAAATTAATTGGCAGTAGGAATAAAATATAAGTAATGGTCCACACACTCCAGAGAGAAGAAAGAAGGGCGGGCCTGAAGGAAAGAAGGGGGCAGACACAAAAGCAAGGGCAGACTGGACTCTCTGCTTTTCCTCTTGCCTCCCTTTCTAGTGGTCTGATAGGGTTTGGAGGGCAGAGGGAGAGGCAGGAGCCAGGGAAGGAGGAGGAGTAAAGCATGTGGTTAGTAGTTTAAGACCCCCAGCAAACACCATATCCCCTAGTTAACTGCAAAAGAAATCCCATTCTATTGCCACAAATACAATATTCCCCCCTACAATATGCATACACTAGTGGGCTACTGGGTTAGATTAATGCCTGCAGAAAAAGAAAGGGGGAAGTTTGGTAGAAACTTTTTCTCTGGATCTTATTCAGCCATTTTGTACCTTCTTCATGCAGAGCACAATTCTATGACTAATTAACTGACTGCAAGATGGAAAGACTTGGAGATGGGGGCAGGATGAGGAAAGTGCTAGGGGAGTGATATTGGCCAAATTATGGAGTTATATTGTGTGCATGTATAAATATGTACAACAGATCCCATCACTATGTAAAACTATAAAGCACCAATAAAAATGTCACAGAAAGAAACAGATAGAAAGATTTGTATAATACCATGGAATCTAATTAGAGTAGTGATTCATATAACTGGATGGTGAGCCTTCAAAGTTTCCTGGGACACTTATACATTAACAAAACATTGTGGAATCTCCACTCTGTGTCCCTTGGAAGTCCCTTTACAGTCTCTAACTCTATCAAGAGCTAAGGGAATAAAATACACAAGAAATAGGGGCAGAACAGGGACCAATGCAAACATCATACCGGCTTCTGCACATTACTCACTCCACACTGGGAAGCTCTTGCAGACACTATAATCAACATGATGGTGTCACCATGTTGAAACTATTCAAAGACTAAAGACAAACCAGGATATTTATTGCAGCATAAATATTTAAAAATTAGAACTTACTTATCTCTAAATGATGGGAAATTTAAAATATGGCACACATATATTTTATGGGATGTGATGCAATCATTTTTAAATGAGGTAGATCAAATAAGCCAGCCCCCCCAAACCAAAGGCAGAATGTTCTCACTGATAAGTGATGCTAACACACAATAAGGAGGAAGGGAAGGGAAGAATAGACAAAGGGGAATGAAGGGAAGGGTAAGGGATGGGAATAGGAAAGACAGTAGTATGAATCAGACTTAACTTTCCTCTGTTCATATATGAACACATGACCAGTGAAACTCCACATCATATTCAACCACAAGAATGGGAAGTTACACTCCATGTAGGTATGTTATGTCAAAAAAAATCCTACTGTCATGAAAATTAAAAAAACAAATACAAAAACTTTTTAAAAATAAAAATAGAAGAATCACTTTATAGCTATCTTAAAGTAAACATTAATCAAAATGATATGGCTTAAGGAAAAGTGAGACTCAAGGAATATGAAAAGTTTATTTGATATTGTTTATTTAATCTATAACCAGTTAGTAAACAATAGCTACTCAATGTTGGGGAAAGGAATCACCCCTAAGGAACTGTGGGTATGAGTGAATATTACTATAAAAATTTTGAATTCATATCTTGCCTTTTATATCTGTATATACCTAGGATTGAATATTTTTTAAAAAATAAAGAAAACCTGAAAAAAAATTAAATGGCTATGATTGGATCTCAAAAAAAAAGTGATTGATCTTTATGTTTGCTCGTAACATATTGAGCAAAACCAGTAAAAAAACGCATATAATATGATTCTATATTTATTTTTTAAAAGATGTTTGCATACCTTTTTATACAGGTACAATGAAGGATTTGGAAGAGAGGAACTAAAAAAAATACTTCTGAGGAGTAGGACTGGGGAAGGTAAGAAGATGAAGTTGTTTTTGTTTTTTTAAGATAATAGGATCTTGTCATGTTGTCCAGGCTGGCCTTGAACTTCTAGGCCCAAGGGGTCCTCCCACTTCAGCCTCCCAAGTAGCTGGAACTACAGGCTGGTGTCACCATACCTGGCTAGGGGAACATTTATTTTCACACATACAAGCACACACACATGAAAAAAAAATCTTTGAGAAGTAAACAAAAAAGTGGTAGTCTCTTCTCTACTGATGATCAGTTTGACTTCTTCCTTCCCTCCCTCCTTCCTTCCTTCCTTCCTTCCTTCCTTCCTTCCTTCCTTCCTTCCTTCCTTCCTTCCTTCCTTCCTCTCTTTCTGCAAACGTTTGTTGAGTCAATTCCACCAGATACCAGTCTGTGCTCTAAAGGAGAATTTGCTCTCCAGGAGAGGAGACCCATGGAAGCAGACCGTTACAGAGCATGCGATCCACACACTAACAGACATATCTAAAGAGTGCATGGAGCACACTTTGAGATTCTGGCTGATCCTGCTGGGAGAGTTGTGTTAACCCTCACACCTGAGAAAAGCAGCCTGTTCTTGAAGGATGAGCAGGATGGGCACAGAGCCAAGGTAAGATGGATGAGACTGCACAGAGAATAAAATGTGGATTTTCTAGAAACTGCAATCACAGGAATCAGACATCGCTGGCAGAGGGTCAGAAAGGAGGGTTAGATTGTCATATAGTGTCATACGCATCATATAGTCCAAGTTAAAATCTTGAGGGCTATGTGATTGTGCTAAATCTGAGCTGACAAGATCCGATTTGTATTTTGGAAACATCTCTCTGGCAATAGCACGGAGCATGATTCCGAGGAGCTCAGTTAGCCATTTGGGGTGCATAGGTGAGAAATGATGAGGGCCTCAGCCAAAGCAGTGAGGGAGAAGACAGAGAGCAAACATGATCTTGGGGATAATTTGGGAGACTGAACAGGTCAATTTTCACCTTCAGCTGGACATAGGATTCGTAAAGTCCCAACACTGGAGAAAAACGAATACAACACTTTTTCATTGCTAAGGCTCTTCATCAGTCTTCCTTTCATCTACTTCCCAGGGGAATGGAGACTGTGGAAGTAAATGTTCATCTTTCCAAACAACTGAAGCTCTTTTCTCTGTCCAGCTGTGGCAGCTCTGTACATAAAGAAAGCCCTGAAGACAACGTGGGGACTTGGAGTCTAGCTTTGATGCTGCCCTGATTCTGAATGAGCCCTATATCTTCTCCAGATTTTCACTTTCCTTGTTTATAAAACAAGATGAACAAATGAACCAGATGACCTCCTAAAATTCTAATTCTATAGAAATACTGTCAGATTCTCTCTCTCTCTCTCTCTCTCTCTCTCTCTCTCTCTCTCTCACACACACACACATACACACACACACACACACACACTGTTAGGATGGCCTTAGTCCTAACCTTAAGCAACTCCATTTTAAATACTCCAGTTTGAAACCTGCAGTCTCACTAGGCACACCCACAGAGCCCTCCAGTATGGTCACAAACAAATTCCTTCCCCTCACCCTGATAAACAGAGTGAAGCCCCTGGCAGGCTGTCCTCCCCTGATAAAGGCAAAGGTGAGAAGATCAGGGTGGAGACCACCAGAGCAGATGTTTCTGACCCCAAGGTAAATGATGTCACTGAGAAATCCGTGGTAGCTGATAAGGATTGAAAGGGGGGTCAAAAGCCTCAAAATTTAGTATAAATGATAGAGCAAATGAACAGGGATTCAGCCAGCCGAAACAAGGATGCACTCGAGCTGGAGAGCCTGATGAGGACCTGACATCCCATCACTTGTCATCGTTTCCCGATCCTCTGTGTGATCCTCACGGCTCTCAAACTCTACCACCTCGTCTGGACCTTGGTGAGAGCCGCAACTTCTCCCTCCTCCCCACTCCTCAACCGGTCGTCCACTCCACGCCAGGAAAAGCCTGCCTTGGTTCTGACCTGGTCACTGCGATCTGAGTGAGTGTGCATCTGCTGGACATAAAGCCTAAGGCTTAAGACTTTTGAACTTAGCCTGCAGAGGGAATGTCTGTCAGTAGCCTGTCATGATTGAGTGTGTTTTGCAGTGCTTAGAATTCATCTAGAATTGTGTGCTGTGAATCAATTAATCTAGAATCGTTTGCTGTGAATTGATTATGTCTATTGTAGAGCCTAGCATTAAGGATTGTCGTTTTCTTGATTAAGAACCTATAGAGTGAAACTGTATTAAGTAATTTGTGTGAATAAAGAATTGAAAGGGGCAGAAATGCATGGACATTTTTTATTTCTCCCCTTTACTGCATACGTCACAATTTTGCCCCTTCCAGACACTCACTTTTATGACTTATTCCATTATTTCCCCTCCCTTTCATGACTCTGTAGTTATCACAGACTATTTTGTGCCTTTCTATGCATTCAATCTGACTTCCAAAAATAACACTTGCTCCCTACTCAAAGTTTTGAAAATACCACTTTTTAATCCTCAAAATATATGGCAAATGATGAAGAAAAATAATTAAAATATGTCTATATTTGTTTGTATCTTGTTGCATGAAGGATTGAAGAAAACAAACTTAGTTCAGAGCTAGAGTAAACAAATGTTCCCTTTTTTTTGGAACCAGGTATTGAACCCAGGGGCACCTAACCACTGAGCCACATCCCCGGCCCCTGTTATATTTATTTAGAGACAAGTTCTCACTGAGTTGCTTAGGGCGTCACTAAATTGCTGAGGCTGGCTTTGAATTCATGGTCCTCCTGCCTCCCAAACCACTGGGATTATAGGCTTGTGCCACAGCACCTGGCTTGGAGTGAATGTTCTTTTGAGAAATGAATCTAAAAAAATGAATCAAAAAAATTTGTTATTTTTTTATATGTAGATCGGAATTTCCCTACCTCTCCACACCACTCCTTTTCTTCTGGAATTCAACAGTATTTTTTTTTCTCATTTTGTCACCTGATCAACAGCTTTAATGTTACTACTTAATTATCTTAGATGTATATATTTTTTATCTCATCTCCATCGCATGCCTCTTGGGGGCATGGATGATGAGCTTGTTTTTATTTACTTTAATTCCTCATAAGAACAAGCGAGGTCAGTAGCTTGTCCATTGAAAATTCTTGGTGCCAATTTTCTGCAAGAATAGAAATTTGAAATAGTTTAGATAATTCATCAAAAATGTTCAGAGTATCAACTGTGGGCCAGCAACTATATTAAGCATGGGGAATTAAAGAAAACAGAATCCTTGTTTTCAAGGATTTGGGAGTCTGTAGAGCAAGACTGCCCCACAAACAATGGTACCAGCATCATTGCACAGCATCTTCTACATATGTATTATCTGTGTGTACAGTATTTCAATGTCCTCAAAGAAAATGTCTTCTGAGATTTACCTGTCATGATTTATGATTTCAGTATTTCCATAGCCATTGTTAGTGGCTTAATCTTTATTCCTTGGGACAAAAAATGTGGCAGTGTGCTTGTAGGAATGAAAATTAATACAGTCATTGTGGAACACAATAAGAGATGCTTCAAAAAACTAAAAATAAAATTACCATATGACCCAGTAATGCCACTTTCACCCCCATGTTTGTTGCAGCACCATTCACAATAGCCAAAATATGGGATCAACCCAGATGCCCTTAGCAGATGAATGGATAAAGAAAATATGGTATATTTACATATTGGATTACTAGTCAGACACACACACACACACACACACACACACACACACACACACAAATGAAAATCCTGTTATTTGTAGTAAAATGGATGCATCTAGATAACATTATTTTGGAGTGAAATAACCCAGACACTGAAAAGATAAATAACACATATTCTCATTCATTTAAGGAGACCAAAAATTCAGCCTTGTAGAAGCACAGAACAGAATAGTGGTCACTAGAGATGGAAAAGGACAACAGGGAGTGGGAACACTGAGGAATTAAGAGGGACTTTTAGATACTGGGAAGGGTGCTAAAAGGAAGGGGTAAGGGAGGGGGGCTTGAATGGAAGAAGGGCAGCTGGACATAAATAATGCACCATGTATATAGGCATGGAAATATTGCAGTGAATCCTTCAATTTGTACAATATTTGCCAATAATTATAATTTTAAAAAACCTGACTACTCTCAAAAACTGGGAAAAAAATAAAAATAAATTGTGGCAGTGAAGGGGTAGGAGTGACCCTGCCCCTTTGCATCTCTTTGAAATGGAAACAATGTGTTTAATGTATTTAAGGGACACTCACTTCTGCCCCTCTGCATTGTCCTTGAAATTCTTCATGGTTCAGTGACCCCAGACTCTTAAGAGGTGTAACAGACTTTAAAAACCATCCTGTCCATTTTCCCTGCCTGGGCAGGAATCCTCTCTATAGTTTCCTTGACAATCATGTGTCTGTGCTGGAACATTCCTCAGACACAGCCCACTGTTTTTCCAGGAAACTCATTTCACACTTAGCTGATAATTTACATATGGTTGGCTCAATAAAAATCTGTGGGAAGAATAATTGATATTGAGCAAAATATCTTCTACTGATCCTTTGCTATTCTCTGTGAAGCAACAAAGAACAAATCTGCCTTCCTTCCTACTCAAGAGTTCTCAAGTGTTCAAACCTTAAATAGAAAAATATTATTATCATTATTTTTACTCTCCTGTGCACTTACCCATCTCCTGGCATTGTGGGGGGCGGGGGTTGTCTTAAATGCCTTTTCCTATGATAGAGCATGATCTAAGCCTGACAGAGCCTGCATTGTGATTGTTCCCCCTCTATTTTCTAGTTTTTTATGATCTCTTAAAGTGGCTACAGTTTTCTGGAGCCTAACCTGTGTTCTAGTCATTACTAAATCAGGAAGGGAAACCATTACATCCCTTGATGTGGTTGTTGTATTTTTATTAATGTAGCTGTCACACCACACTCACATGGGGGTTGGAGTCACCTACAGCCACAACTCTCAGCTCCTGGTCCTCCACGAGTTTGAGAAGCATGCATTCTAGCCAAGTTGTAGACAGCAACATGGAGTTGGAGAGGGCCAAGTTCAGTGGCTGGCACTGCTAGAGATCCCCTTCAGGCTTAGCTTTTCCCCCATGAATAAGGACTAAAGCAGAGAAGGCTTAAATCTCTGAACCAATTAGGTATCATCCGTGTTTGAAGAATTTCTTAGAACCCCTAGATTTACACACCTACCACATGCAGGTGATGAAATCACTCAAACAAGACAAAAGACAGTTATATTAGTTGTTTCTAAGGCGGTTTGAATTTTTCTATATCAATGATCTATAAGCTGAACAGTGAAATTTGAATTATGATTAATGATGCTGGCAGTTATTTAAAACATGTTAGAGGGGTCAGTTTCTCAAGCCCTAACGGGCTTGTGGATATTTCAAACATAGCAAATGTCACAAAATACTAGACTTTGAAATTCTCAGTTTGCATTGTTCATCATCTTTTTAAAGGAAAAACTTGCTAATATTGGGGACCTCTTAAGAGCAGAAGCAAGCACCACTCAGAAGCAAAGCTTGCTTCAGATGTATGAATAACACACTCTAGTGTACAATAACACACTCTAGTGTCAAGGGGTTGAGCTCCAGCTGAGCACAGGGGTGACCAGGAATAAGGGGCGGGCTGGAATATGCTAATGCCAGCCACAGCCTCATCAATGCAAGGCGTGTGGTTGCAGACGCCTAATTACTTCCGAGCGAAACTGCAGTGAAGAGGAAGAAAAGGAGGAAGAAAATTTCAACGCCCAGTTGTTGGGGTGCAGTTTCAGGGTAGGTCTTATAAATTCCCTAGAATCTCGCGCTCCCTTTCCCGCACTCCGCTGGAGTTGGTGTTGCAAAGTTCTATTAACAGCAAAATATACAGAAGTAGCGTCCTGAGGACGAGGCTGCCGGGAGCAAGGTCTAAAAAGGCATTTTCCTTCTCCGCGCACCCACACCCGCCCCACTGTCTCCTCGGAGCACACTTGCCGGTCTACTTTTTTGCATTCGGTACACCTTTCGTCCACCCGCTCCCGCCGCGGATCTTCTTCCCTGGAAAGACTTAGCCGACCCTAGGGGGCTCAGGCTCGCGCCTTTCTGTCTCCTCGGCCCTTTCTGGGTCCGGGTGAGGGTAAGAGGTGGGAGGAGCTGCATCCGGCTGGCGCAGACTGCCCTGGGGGCTGCAGAGGATCGGGTGAGTGGCCTGCAGAGTGAAGGGGAGGACCACACCCTCCTTCCGTCGCTATAGGAACGACATCTGCCCTTTTTGTGACTCCAGCTGAATGAGCTTAGGCTCTCTGGTCCAGTCCCAAATCACCTTTTACATCAACCTAAAGAACACATCTTTTCCCTCCTCCCCTTCTTTTGCCTCAGTTTTTTTTTTTTTTTTAACGGACCAGACAACATTTGAACAAAATCCAGGGTAGAGAGATTAAAGTAGGTTAAGCACACCAGACACGTGAAAGTAACCCTTCCCTCTCCTTCTTCAAAAAAAGCATGTGGAAGTACATAGCAAAAGTTCTATGTACTCATCAAATGAACACTTTCTTGAGCATTTAGTCTGCACCAGGTTTTCGGAACGCATGAAAAGGAAAGTTATAGTTGAATGACATAAGTTTATGCTGGAGTACAATGTCTGGTGCAGGGAGAAAATAGACATGCAAATGAAAGCTAAGTTGAACTTGAGCTTTAAGAACAAATATTATATAGCCCTTTAAAGAAGGCAAGTAAGTCCCCACAAGTCTGAAGGTCCAGACCCATGTGGAAGCTTGGTATTCTGGGTACCAGCAATCAGTTTGATGAGAAGGGGCAAAGGTATACAGGGGCAGATGAGACAAGATTGAAAAAAGCAGATGGCGACCAGTCATATATGAAGTGGCTTGGAATTAGATGGGCTAAGGAGTGTGTGGACTCGCAGAAAAGTGCATGTTCAGATTTTAGGAAATTTCCCAGTCACATTATGGAAGTTAGGGAAAGAAGATTGAGAATCAAGATGCTGAGCGCGATTACAGAGACTCGGGAGGCCACAGCAGGGGGATCTAGAGTTCGAGGCCAGCCTCAGCCTCAGCCACGTGGCCAGACCCCCTAAGCAACTTAGACCCTGTATCAAATTTTAAAATAAAAAGGGTATGGTGGGCGCTAGGGATGTAACAGTGGTAAAGCACCCCTGAGTTCAATCCTCAGTGTCCACCCCCAGCCTCTCAAAAAAGTCAAGGCAAGGATGCTGCTTAGAATTAATAAGTGATTTTATTTCAGGGTAAGAGCAAATGGAAAAGCAGTTTCAAGAAATTTAGAAAATGAAATAAAGCTTGGTAGCCAGATGCAAAATATAAGACTGAATCCCAGGATTACACCTTAGACAGCCTTGATAGGGTGTCATGTATCAACAGAAAATTCTACAGGAAGGAAGTTGTTGAGGGATGGATCCAGATTGACTCAGTCCAGTTGCCAAATATCAAGCAGCAAGTCTGGTGTCAAGATCAAGATGTAGGATAATGATCGTAATTTGGAAGTCACTGTCACAAGTAGTGATCACTGAAGTCTGAAAACATCTAAACTTGAAGAGCGGGGAGGGTGTAGTGAAACTGCACAGAACATGATAGTGTGGTGAAGTGTGGTGAGAGACAGTATAGATGACACAAAGGATTAGAAAGCTACAAAATAATAAAGAATAAGCAGGAGGTGGGGAGAAAATGACAAAAGAAAGGTGTCACATGAACTAATGACATAAAATATTTTGATTGGGGTGTGATAAATAGTGTATATAAGACAAGGTGAGAAAAAATGTACATTGGATTTAGCAACTAAAGGTTAGTAGTGTTTTCAGCCAGGCAAGTGTTTTAACATACTTTAGGGTAAATTTCAAATAGAAACTATTTATATGAATAACAAAACAAAGTAGTTCTCAAGCTAGGGGCGATGAGTAATCAATAATATCAATACCTAAACCAGAGCAGGCCCTTAATGTTTACTGTTGAAGTGCATGCACTATAGAATAACTCAATATTATGTTAACTGGAAAATAATGTTTAAAAAGTGGGGTAGGGTAGGTGTGATATAGATAGTAAAAAATATATATATACTAGGTAAGAAAAAATGTACAACAGAGTGAGTGCTCACTTTAATCATAATTCAAAATTACTTCTTTTCATGTTAATATAGAAAGTTCCATGTGAACTGAGATAGGTATTACACATTTTTTTAATGTTTAACATCACTGAAAATTTATTATTAAAATTCAACAGAAGTAGGTTGAAATTCTCACCATAAATATAATCATCACTATTCTTAAAAATCGTCTATGGATATTTATTTCATTTATTTATTTGTATGCGGTGTTGAATTGAACCCAGTGCCTCACACATGCTAGGAAAGCACTCTGCCACTGAGCTACAACCCCAGCCCGCATCATCACTATTTTTATTCACAATAAACTCAAACCTAAGCTTCCTGAAAAGCTCTAATATCAAAATAGGGATGACTAAGAACTTGACAGCCACTCCTTAAAGTACTAGCTTCATATAAAGTGATTAAGAAACAGCTTCCCCTTGTTTGTGTTTTCAACAGAGCTTATTTTTATTTTATTTTATTAAGAAATGTAGATAGAGACTGATAATGCAATGGTATCAAGAAAAGAGCACTTCAAAACTTTTTCACTTTTATTTAAGGTTTTGACGATGAAGAGTTTATAAAATGTCATTATATTTGCTATATAATAATCATCAATTTCCAAGTAGGAGACATATGCCATAATACAGTATCCATTGTAATATGTAAAATGATTCTTTATTCTTACTATTAATAAGATTTGGCTAAAATACCAAACATACTTGCAGTAAAACTGACAATATAACGTAAGTAGCTTATAAGATTTCAAACTATCTCCTGAAAGAAATGAGAATGTTTCCCTTTGTCAGATACACTCTGAAAAGTTAGTGTCACAAAGGAACATCATGTGACTAGAAAAGTACAGCGCATGATACAGACTTCCTCCACATTAAACTGACAACCACTAAAAAAGACAATGACTTATGATACATAAGAAAACAGAAAAGCTCTTCAGAAGGAATGACATGAGAAGGTATTTCTTATGAACAAACCTCTTTTTGAAGTCTTGAAGAGCTCTTTAGAGCACATAATCACAAAACAGATAAAGATCATTTATGTGACATGTTAAAGGATTCTTCTATATTACAATATCCTCCTTAATCTTAAACACAAGTCAAATATAAATACACTTTTAAAACTGTTATTCTATCAAACATTTCTTTGCTACCACACTCGGCTACTAGTGGCATTTGGATGCAAAGGCTTAACCCGTGCTAATCTGGATAAGCCAAGGCGGAGACTCTGATTTGGGGACCTAATGGAAACTCCTGCCATTGGACTGCTGCTGTTGCTGCTACTTCCGGATGCAGCTAAAAGAAAAGACAAGATGTAACACAAATCATGTCAGAAATCTCTTAATAAAGATCAATTCTTAAAACAAAACAACAACAAAAAAAGTTAAGCACTGTTCTGCTTTCCACATTCTATCAAGCAATAAAATAAACATTCAAAATAATGGCAAGTACTATATGACAGAAAGAATAGAGTATAGGGAGAGCACCCATAATGTGAAAATCCAAACTTTGAAAAACTTCAAAATCTGAAACAATCTGGTCCCAAGCACCTCGGATAAGAGATATTCAAAGTATTGCCCATTTTTAACTATCCCCAGAAGGCAAGGTAATGAACCAAAACTTAAACTACAAAGCTGAAATGAAAAATAATTCGGCTGTAAAGGCATAAAGAAATAGAGACAACTATAATTTCTAAAGTAATGAAAAAAATCTCATGTATTTTTAAAGTTTATAATTTTTATAAGTACTACTTGAAAAGACTCTATTTTTCAAGTATTAAACAAGTTTTAAAATGGCAAATAGATCTTCTTTAATTACTAATGAGAGTGAAACTCTTCATTTTTCATTGTTGTATTTCTTGGAAGAACTGGGACTTTTATATCCCTGGCTCATTTTTCCTTTGGGCTCTAGATGGTTTTCTCAAATTGAATAAGACAAGCAACAAATTGACAACCTAGGGCCAAATCTAGCTTTCAGATACGCTATTTCGGGGAGACTGAGGCAGGAGGATTGAAGAGTTCAAAGCCAGCCTTAGCAATCTAGTGAGGCACTTAGCAACTCGGTGAGACCCTGTCTCTAAATAAAACAAAAAGAGCTGGGGATGAGTGGTTGAGCATCCCTGGGTTCAATCTCAGTATAAAAAAAAAAAAAAATGCTGTTTGGTCTACATGGTTTTTTAAAAGGTCATATTTTAAAATGAGGAGATTTCATATTAAAATCTGAATTTCTGGCTTCTCTTGAAAATATCAGATCTGTATGTACCAGCCTATCTCCCTGCATACAAACAATCTGATGGAGCTGAGTAGCTCTGCTTTCTTCAAGAGGGACAGAAGCTCTCAAGTCCAAAGGGTCCTGTTCACCCATTATCATTTGTCTGCCCTCTCACATACTCCATCTGTCAGCACAGTGTGCTTTATGATATTAACTCTTTACCCATCATTTCACTATCTCCTTTTAATTTTTTTGATCATGCTACTTTTTAACTTCTACAGTCATACCATTTAAAAAAATTTTCTTCCATTAAGGAATCACTAATTATTTTCAGAAAAAAAAATATACTAAGTATTACTTTTTGAATGATATGGTATCATTATTTCAGTAACTAACTTTCACACCTTTCCTTCTCTAAAAACTTTGAAGTCCTCATTGAAAATCTTAACCAGAAAGAATTTTAAACATTATATTAGTTCTTGGTAATTCTGATAATAAAATGAAGACTCAGGTAAACCAAGTAATCATGCAGCCTCACAGTTGAGCCCTAACTCTATATGTTAATACCTAGCCATCATTCAGGAAGACACCAGCATGGGCCAATCAAAAAAGATCATTCAAAAGAAGTGAAACTTGAGTAGTTTTGGAAGGACTCCAAAAGGGAGAGAGGACAGGAATATGATATGTGTTTAAGGGATAGAAAATGGATCAATTTGACTAAAGTAGAAGGTTCATGTAATTGGATGAAAGTAGACACAGGACTGGTTGGGTCGCAGCAATATTTTTGACCTAGATGAAGTTGAAGTCCAGTCCAGGGAATTCTTTTTTTTTTTTTTTGGTACTGGGGACTGAACTCAGGGG